TCGTCTTTTTTTTTTTCTTTTAACTTTCGGGAAAATCAGATTTAGAAGGGGCAAGGGAAGTGATTCGGGCGGTGAATCGGGGCTTGAAGAGGGGGAAAGAGGAGTTCGGAGTGGATTCCCGATCCATCCTCGTCTGCATCCGAGGAATCCCACGTGAGTGCACGTTCGAATGCGATGCAACCGCGTCCGAAGGCGACGAGAACGTCACGCGTCGTTTCAGATTGGTCGGAGGATATCCTGCGGTTGGCCGAGGAATTCCGCGACGACGGCGTCGTCGGCATCGACATCGCCGGGAACGAGGCTCATTCCGAAGAAGGTCGGGTCGGGATCGGATCCTCTCTCCTCCTCCTCCGCGGGGTCGCTCAAAGATTTCGTTCCGACTCTTTAGGGGAAATGGACCGAGGAGACTGGGAGGTGTTCGAGAGAGCGGAGAAAATGGGGATCCATCGAACGGTTCACGCAGGAGAAGCGGGTTCCGCGAACATGATCGCGATGGTATCACGCTCCGTCCCCGAGCCGATTCCGTCTCCTCGCCCCCCCCCCCCCCCCCCCCCCCCCCCCCCCCCCCCTCCCCCGCCCCCCCCCCCCCCCCCCCCCCCCCCCCTCCCCTACATCCTCCCGTCCTCGCCCCGCTAGGCGATGAAGGAGATGAGAGCCGAGAGGATCGGCCACGGCTATCGGGTGGTGCAGAGCCCAGAGATCTACGAGGAATGTCTGGAGAGAGGGATCCACTTGGAGACGTGCCCCACCTCCTCCTTTCTCACCGGCGCCGTCCCGCTTTCCGTCGCCACGCATCCCGTCGTCACGTACGCGATCGTCTTCCCGACCCGTTCCGTTCCCGCGGGGTCTTCCCGTCTGACGCGTCCACGGCTTTCAGGTTTTGCCGGGACGGAGCCAATTTCTCCGTGAGTCGAGACGGTCCGACGCTGACGAACACGTCTCTGTCCGACGAGTACGCCCTCTTGCGACGGTGGGGACTCACGGAGGCCGACCTCGTCAGAGCCGTACGCACGCCTTTCGTTCTTCGCTTTCCTTTCGTTCCCGGCGAATCGATTCTCATTCCTTCCCGTTCTCGTCGGCAGAATCTGAATGCGGCCCGATCTTCGTTCTTGCCGGAGCCCGAAAAGAAGGAACTCGTGAGGAAGATTTTGTCCGCTTGCGGCATTCCTCGATGACCGGAACCGCTCATCGCATCCGCACGATCGAGGAATGTGTAGTCCGAAACGATGGAATGTAATCGACAATAAAGGCATGTAACCCAGGGACGAGACGAGTGTACGTACGATCGTACGACGCGACACCACTACTTCCGTACTGACACGAGAGAAATCCGATTGCATAGGAAAGCCCCATGCGTCTTTAAATTCTCTTTCGCGACGAGGTTGCACACGGATGCAAAACTTATATTACCAGCAAGGGGGAGGATTCCCGTTCGGCCTGCATCGTGTTTCTTTCCTGACTCTCCCACGAGATTCTCATATTTCCAAGGTCGAATGGAGTGAGAGCGCATCCCATCGCCAGATATCCTCCTTTCTCTGCCTGGTGAGGATGTCGATCGTAGAAGAGCGAAAAAGCGTGAGGAAGGGGGGGGGGAAGGGAGGGGTTCTCCTCGGACGTTCTTCAGATCACCTTTCGAAAGAGTTCCTTTCTTCGCTTTCGAAACATCCAATCCAAAAATACCTGAGGCTTTTCACTTTTCTTAGGGGTACCTTTCCGTAGTTTGAAATAACCTCCCGGCTCGGACAGAACGGCCAAAGCAGTAACGCTGGAAACAGTCAGCATTTCGATGTCGGGAGTTGAGAATCAGCCGGTTCGACCTGGAAGACATTCAGAAGACCATTAGCGTGGAATAGAGCTTCGATTTAAGCCTGCACCACGAGACGCCGCATTCGAGCGGACGCTGTTTATTTTCACCCCGTAACACGTTACAGGCAAGGAAACCGAATCCGTGATGGGATATCCCGCGCTGGGATCTGCGACCTTCGACCGGGTTCCGCCTTCATCTCTGATGATCCGGCATCGGCATCGGATTAGAATGGAGGCAAGATATCTTCGAATTCTAATCGATTTTTAAATGAAATCCGAATCCTCGGCGACTCGAGTCGCCATCCTGCGTCTGCCCGATTCCATCGCCATTCCTTTTCGACCCTCCAGCGCGAAAACGGAACGCGAACCAGCAGCAGACGAGCCGAGGAGCATCAGCAATGTGGGCCACTCTTGTGAGCAATGTGGGCCACCCTTGTGAGCAATGTGGGCCATGTATGACGTGGAAACGACGTCCGGACGTTGCTACGAGGCCAGTTCCTCACGTGACTCCCCCAAACTCGACCTTTTCGACGAAAGAAGTCCTCGAAGGAAAGAAGTTCCCTCGATCCTGCTGGATTGTCTTCATTTTTAGGAAGAAAGAGCTGGATCGAGCACCGCAACCATGCTTCCTCGTGCGTCTCCAAATGAGATCCGATCTTAGACCCGAACCACATCGAATTTCGAGGGAAAAGCCGCCGAGTACCCAGTACTAGTACTAGAGCGGTCTGCACAATCGTTCGTGATTTGAACCCGAGCAACAACAGTAGGCATTGCACGAGACCTTTAATAGACCTAAATCTCCCCTTTCCGGCGCCCCCTTTTTTTTTCAGTCCAGCATATGACTTTGAGTTTCATCCGACTGGAACGTCTTCAATCGTTTAGCGGCATTTGTAGAACGTCCTCGTATGAATGAACTGAATATGCAAATCGGCGTTAGATCAAACGAAAGCTCATTAACGTGAAAGCAATTGCTACCACAATTAGCAAGGTTCAAGCACATCGTTTCCATTTTTTAATTACCGATGACTCATGAGACGCGCCGTCGCCATATTTATAACTCAATTGAATTTGCTTTCTGACGGGCAACGTTGCCGTCGTCAAGCACGGTTGAAAATGAACAAGGTTTACTAGAATAGAGATTTATCAAATACTGTCTTATCTTGTAGGTATACAATTTTCTAAACAATGCTACAATTGTTCAGCAAGAACAATATTTTCTGAAAATATAATTTTAGTCACCGGTTTTCAGCGCATCATGCCAGAGATTAGGGGAAAGGGGGGGGGGGGGGGGGGGGTTGCAGCTCTGCCCTCTCGTAAAATACGAACCGTACATTATAGGTCTTATCGTGAATTTCTGAACGAAGTCGAGTGCCTTATCTTATTCTTGCGGAAAAGACGAGGCGCAATGAGACAAACGATCGATGTGTCCTGGCTCCGTCGAGGTTTCTCCACCTCGATCCACCCGGGAATGGTTTTTACGCGCCACACATGGTGGCTATAGCCGGGGGAAAAGAAGCAGGAAAGAGAGAAAAAAAAAAATTAGGCTGCCTTTTATTCGCCCTCGCGAGCCTGCGGCGGTTGAGACCCGTTCGTGTCGATGGTTGTTCCGCGCGCGGTCGCTTTGGCTTTACTCGCATCGTGTCCGTTCCTTCGTACGTATTTGGGTTTTCCGACTCCGGTTCGGGATGCGATTGCCGGCACGTCCATTCGTCGATCGAATGCTACATCGGTTCGGAACGGAATCGAAACATCGAGCGGCAACACGTTCGGGTCTCGCTCGGACACTAGCAATACCTCAATTTAAATGCTCGAGTCGGCAGTATGGGACTCCGTGACGATCGCCCGTGCATTTGGATCGAAGGCAAAAAGCGAATCTAGGATTCGTAAGTCGAGGAACAGCACCAGAGTGAAAGTATTTCTGAAATTAAACGTACGAAGCGTACATCTGCTGTCGATAGAGCTCCTGTCGTTTTGCTCTAGAATGGTCGGCGCATTTTTCCGTCGCCTCAAAAATCTTATCTCACTTTTCAGGACTCGATTCCTCAAGAGACAAAGTATCTGGGCTTGGATGATTGAACTAAACCGAGTGGATATTCATTAGTGAATATAGTCTCACTTCTTCCGATATCAAAATGCGTATACTTTCCAAAATTTCCCTCTTTTACAGACCATTCCGTACAAAAACAGATACTAAAAACGAAACCCAGCTCCTACCCAGAGGCACTACACAAAAACTTAATATTTCATTATAAAATAAGAACTTCTTGCTCTGTAGTTTTTACACTGGTAATTTTAAAGCACCCCTGCGGCCACAAGCGGTGTCCACGTGGGGACACAGGAGTAACATCTGAAGGTGATAACGTAATCTCGTTTGCGCACGATTTCTCATGCCAGAAATGAGTAATGACTCGAGTCAGGATTTCCATGGAATCAGGAAAACAATACACCATTCCCTAAATTAGAATAAGACCAAGGCATCCGTGATTCCACGGCGCACAGCAAGTGCATGCTATAGAAGCATGATAGAGACTTTCAGTTCACAAGGAAGGCACCAGTTAGGTGCTCTGGCAGTTAAACACTCCAGTGCAAGGCAACCACACTCCATGGATTGTTTTAGTTCTCACTCCTGAAGTTTTGAAGTATAACTGAGGTTTTACTTCAGAAAGTGAAAATACCTTCCATTTCGGCGTCATTTGGGACGCTAGGGGTTGACCCTTCTCCCTTCAAGGAATAGGGGGGAGGGGGGGGGGGGGCATTGGGAATCCTTTGCGCAGGGCGCCGAAATCGCTAGGGCCGGCCCTGCATCTATTAAAGATCATCAGAAAGTATTCTGTGCTTGGGCTTATTTATGTGTGCATGTCCAGAGCATTCTGGTGGGGATTATGGACACATACAAACAAGAACTAAAAGATTCACAAAATTAGTTGCTTATTGTGCAGATGATAATTTAAAACCCAAGGCTTCTTTTTTCATCTGTTCTGAACTTTAAACTGTCACGCATGACGTAAAAATACAGCGCCGATCCACCATCCTTCTTCCTATGTATGCAGCCATTTTGAAATTAAATTGAGTTCAACTTCAATGCTTCCATGATGAGTAGCATTAGAAAATGCCAACAAAGACACAATTTCAAAACACAAAGATATATTGGCAATAACAACATATCTCATACATGCATTGTATAAAATTACTTACTCTAATTTTTCTTCTTTTGAAGCTTCATATGATGTGCTTACACAAAAATCGACCAGGAATTCACAATTGATTTTTTCACTCTCACCTCCATTCTCACTGGTTTGGAATGCAAGGACCCATTCGAAGGGTGACATCACAGGTATGACAGAACACCATTAGCAAAAAGGGAATTCCGGGTGGGATGTATGACTCCATCTGGACATCCCTCGACCTGCAGGAAAAATAACAGAACATTTTATTGCAACAAAAAAAAAACATGGATATGAATTGCACTTTTTACTTGCTGAAGGGGCATATATTCATCTTTATAGCCCAGTGCATCACCATGGTAAATGATGGCCCTCTCACAATTATTGTATCAAGAGGCCATCTAGCAGATTCATTGCAAGCCAATTAATCTTGGGAGGACAACAGGAACATCAGCTAATAAGAAGTTAATTGCTTAAATGTGTTCAACACCTTGGGGCCAATACACTTTTGCTTGCAACAAATTGGCTTTAGATATTTGCTATAAGCACATTGCAATAATGAAAGGAATTATAAATGAAAAATTATTTGGCTAGTGGTGAAATGGCAATGGAAGATACTTTGAGCAATGTTTCACAGAAAAGTGAGAGAAAATTCTCTACATCAAGGTAAAGGCTAGATCTATTATGTAGCTTTGTCAGATGAGAATATACATCAAGGATGAACAGCAAGCCTAGGTGGGTATGATTTCATCAACAGTAACTCCAGATACTATAACTTAAGGACCACAATAGTCAATGAATTGAGGCTGACGGTAAATGAGGCTACGCCAAAAGGGAAACAATTAGCTGTTTCTAGTGGAGGTCCCTTGTTGAAATCTCTTGATTCTTGGCTCACCTGATGAGACTGTATGAAGGCATGGAATTTCTCCACCACAAGACCAGAAACTTCAGTCCACTTCTCCAAACTGTCAGCAATCCATACAGACAGAAAAGTAACAGTGAATACATGCTTTCATTCAAGGAAAATTGCTACACTTTCTCCACCATTCACGGCCCATAATGTTCAATTTTCATCAACGGGTTCGAATCGTACCGACGGCAAGGACGACGCACCTGTGAGACGAAAGGAGGGCCTGTGAGAGGATCTTGTGACAGACACGTTTGTTGGCATTGGAGTCAAAGAGGGGGACTCCAAAGGAGACATCAAAGAAGGAGCCATGCAAGAAGGAAATGATTCCTGGGCAGCAACTTGTGTCAAGGACCTCCTTCAACTTTTCTCTAACCTTCCCCAACTCCTTAATCTCATCACCATTCTTTTCACTTTCTAACAAGAGAAAAACATAATAAGTGATATTTATCAGCTAGATTCAAATTGAATATACTTAGCTCCAAACTGCACTCCAATGGATAAAATATCAACAAAATGAATTTCCATAAGAGCTCATATACACTTGGAATACATTCAAGTTGGGCAAATGAATCAGCCAATATTTTCAGCTGTCCGTTCAACTGCCCATTCCCAGCCACTAACCATACCCACATGAAAGGTGTGGCAACATACATCAGTGACATCTGAGTGGCTATTCATAAACATGAGCAAGTTGATTGGATAGATCATAGAAAGTTGTCAGAGAAACTCTGAGTCAATCCTTTGCTCAGCCTAACTGAGGTGCTGTTGGAAATTATTTCAAGGTTTCATATAGCACAGCCATTTTTAAAAGATGCTGATGCTAGCAATAAGGAGCATGCTATGTGTTCCAGGACAATTTTTTGATTTGCCTTTTTACTGGTTTGCAAAACCTTTGTCAAATTTTTTAGCACATGGACAAATAAGGAATACCAATGCTATTACTCAACTTCACTAAAGGATCAAGTGTGGCAAGCAATTTGCAAGAAAAGACCCTGTTAACTAAGCAAAGGTCACAAAATCCTGCTGATGGTCACCATCAGCAGGATAATATGCATCCTCATAAAAAAGTTCAGTACTGACTTTTCTGTGGGCAATTTTTGTGGTTCCTGCATACTACCTGAATGTATTTGGGTAGTTTCCCTTCAAAAGCTTGTAGCATGCAGGGAAAATGTATGGAATTCCATGGAAACTTTTGAGAAACAGAGTGGTTATAGACATTCCATACCTCTAGAAGGTGGAACAGAAAATTGTGTCCTGGAATACATTGTACACCTGATTTTTGGCAAACATACTTAGGCATCACATGCATCCCACAATTTCCTCTACTGAGCCGGTTCTGACATTTTCATGGGAATATCATGTAAGAGAAAGACTAATAGCAGAGCAAGTCTCAAGAGTGGCTCTCTTTAGCTGTAGCTGTTTTAGCCATGCATTGCATTAGTATTAGCAATGCATACTAAGTTTCAGATGATGCAGTCTCATGAAATGCATCAGAACCAAGACTATCTTGTCAAAGTAGGCTGCCTCACCTTTTTCTTCATCAAATGGGATGGGGATATAGTGGAAGTCGGGCTCTGGTTCATTGCCTGCTCCCTGCACACACAAACAACAATCTCTCTCCTCAAACAGTCTGTGGAGTTCAATCCTGAATGAGAAATCTTCTTTGAATTAGATGCATATTGCATATGATGAAGATAGTAATGAGACGAAAAAAAAACAAAAGGAGCGATGATGCAAGTAGGAAAATTGGAAACAAAAAGTTTTCATTTTTGACATTCAGTAGAATTGGATAGGCACTTGAATATTGCAATTGATGCCATAGAAGAACACTCCATGGGGACTAAATGACCCCACAGTGTTTACAGTTGTTTTTTTGCATGGTTTAGAGAAGCTAACCAGGCTTGAAATGAAAGCAGCCCCTTGTGAAAGTTACAAGCATGAGGCATACTCCATGTATTGAGATGAATATTCCATAGTATCAAACTCACAGAAATGAAAGTAAAGAAATTTAAAAAATGAGAAAAAATGAAGAGATACCTGAACAAATATAGGAGCATGGGTGAGTGCATCATTGATGAGAAACAAAGCCTGTGCTGTGGGGATGAGGATTGACTCATGATTCCAGGATGTTAGGAAGAGATAAAAATGCTCCATGAACACAGGTGGAAGTCTTCTCAATCTTGTGCCTAGTTCCAATGAATATAAAAGTTCCATGTTCATTTTCTAAAAGAATGCATGATTGACTACAGATGTATTGTTATTGGAATACACAAATGAATAAATATCCTTGAATTAAAGTGGATGCAGGTATTTCACCTAAATTAAAGGGCAGCTAATGAAGGTCTCAAATACTAGTAGGCTCTTACATTGATTGTACCTTCAAACCCCATTTTTCTTTTGGCCCTACAAAAGGAAATGAGGACTTCCTTAAAATTTTATCATTTTAGCTGTATCTGACTCCAAGAAAAAGACAGCTGAGTCTAGTCCAAATCAATTCAGCCTGTTTCAAAAAAACCTTTTCTGAGTGAATCCAAGTTACTACTATCCGAGTTCAGGGTTTTCCAAGCAATCAGATTACCATCATAGTAGGGTCAAATTACTTTTTTGAAGAAGTACAGGCATGTTACATTTTTCATGATAAAAAACTATAACCTATATATTTTTATGATTGCAAACTACACCGGTGGACAAAATTAAGGTAACAATCACAAAAATGATGATTTTATTCTGTGAGGTATATAAAGGAAAATTTATACAGAGATACCACTTATCATAGCCTATAAGTGTATAAAAAAGGAGAAACTTTTGACTGGTAATAACAGAGTTATGATCATTATATAATGAAATGAAAAATTACATGTTCCAACAGAAATGCTTAGAAGAAATCAATAGCTGCTGCCTTTTTATAGGCTTCACTAATTTGCGTGTTGCAAAGCACATAGATAAATTTTGATTGGATATTCGAAAAGTGCACGTAAAATCATGAAAAGTAACGTATTTCCACTTTCTAATTTACTATTGTCATTAAAAAATTGATTAAAATTGATTGAAAATTAAAATATTGATGAAAAACGGTGTTACCTTAATTTTGTCCACCAGTGTAATTTAATCCTAGCACTAGCACTACTGACACTGGTCAGCAAATCATCCTTTGTGAAAAAAGACCAGAACAATACAAAACATGCATCCGGTATAAAATGGTAGAGCCTCAACACCCAATAGTGTATCTGTGAGTAAGACATAGGGAAACATGTCAAAATAATTTATAAAAAAAAAAGGGCTGAGAAGAATTGAGAAATGGGGCAAATGAGGACCTCTGGCAAGGAGCATGGATGGTGGACCGAGTTCAGTAGATGCGTAAAGGAACACCTTCCACCATGGGGTGTTGGCCTCGATAGCAGGTGGGCCAAGAAGGGGCGGGTCCACGCTGGTCAATCCCACTGCCTCTGGGCTCATTGGGCACAGTGTGATCAGCACTCTGCATTCCCAAACCCATACCACAACATGCTCAAAAATCATCTTATGAATGTGCAGTTACTTTTCAGTACATACTCCAGGCTTATTGGGATGTACAGAACAAGAGAATTATGCAAGAGAAGATAGGCAATCAGGGAGGAGAAAAGGAAGTCACACATGGGCATTGCAAAAGAAAACTTCATTTCAGGCTTATTTCTACTTAGTCTCATAGGGAAACTAATAGACCTAAGTTTTCTGGGGATAAGAAAGAGTGGATTTTCCATCACAAATAGTTGGGGAGAGAAGAGGTATGAGGAACTGATTGGCTCAGAAAAATTGGGTTAAAGAAAACACATATTTACTTTCTAAGAAAGGATTCACCACATCTTCCCACCAATATTCATCATATCCAGCTTGCTATCATGCAGAAGAAATTAATGGCCACTAGATAAAAAACATGCAACTACCTGACTTTCATAAAAATTTTTTGAAGAATTTCATTTAGCATGAGCCACAGAGCTACAAGCATTCATTATGGAGTACTGGGCTACAATATTAAAATGGCAGCTTAGGTTTTCAGACAAAGTCAAGACCACCATATTGGTGACCAGGACACAGATACGGAAAGAGATAGTTCACAAAATGAAACGTGGCATAACTGGCTCAGTAATTTGTATGGCAAGCCTCTAAGTTTGCCCTTAAATCACTCCAGCTGTGATTCTTGTTATGAGCATGCTAGTAGAAATTGATGCACAGTAGAACTTAGTAATAGCATAGAATAATGGCTGGTACCAGTCTGAAGCCCTCATCATGCATACTTGGTAGGAGGGGGATGGTACTTTTCATGCCACTCTCCCCATTTAAGCTTTATTTGGATTTAAAGATTTAAATTTACAAACTCTGATTCTTTCTTATTCAACACACATTTTCTTGCCAACAAAGTCAGCTACTAGTTCAGGAATATTTCAACCTCATTTTTTTTTATTTCAACCAGATCAGTTTTTGGCTTAAAAGCAGGTAACATTGCTTGTCATAATGGAATAATCACAAAACAAATAACAACAACAAAAACAAACTCAAGACTGCAAGAAAGATGAAAAATCACAAATTACTTCATTGCACAAAGACTAGGAAACATAATCCAATGCTAAAATGGGGAAGAGATCTTACGCATAATACTTGCGAAGGAGGCGGGATACTGCTCCCCGATCCAAGTTGAGGAGGCTCTCACATCGCAGGAGATCCAGGACATGGCCTCGACTGCGCAGGGCAAGCACTGTGCTTCGGAGGTTCACTGCATGTTCCATGTATCGCTTGGCCTCACCCTCCAACTCCAAGTCCTCAACCTTCTCAAGCTCCTCTAAGAGACTCCCCAGAGACTCATCCGACAACTTCCCGACCTCGAACATCGTCACCGCATGATTCTTTAAGCCCTACCAGAACAGTCACATGACTTTAAGTGAAAACAGATTCATCACATTCCTTGAGAAGATTTTGGAATGTTCAGTGAAGCTACTGACAACTGAAAGATTTCCCATCATGAGATAAGCTGTGAGGGTAGAGTCATAGAGAAGACCTATCCTTTTGGATATACTCTCTCCCTCCTCTTCTAATGCATTCTCTATCTCCTGGATCAGCTGTGTTTCAGCTGCATCCCCAGGCAGTTCACCACCTCTATTAAATCTGGAAAATAAAACACATGTAGTGCATTGTTTAATGTCTTTGTGTGATCATAAATGAGATGTATTATATTTTCTGCATAGGGGATCCTTTTTCAGATATACTACTACCTTGCTACAGCAGGGTTACAATGATAATATTCATGTAAGAGAACTTTCACATACAGGGTGCCAAAAAACCTTAGCTCTTCCTGTAGCAGAACAGTATGATGAAGCAAAACAATTTTATTTTTGGACTAAGGATTCAACTCTACAATTACAGGCTTTGGAAGAGGTTAAATTGTCTTGTGTGTGCCCACTGTGGGTCCTTGTCGCAAAGAAATGTCACATGGTCAATATTTTTGGGGTGTTATTTTGAAAAATGAATGAAGCCTAAAGAAAAATGAATAGCAACTCAATGAAGGAATAATGGCTGAGAGGACTCACGAGGAAAGTGGTGGTTTGTAAAGATGTCTCCAAGATGTATGGGTGACAAAGGATTCAGGCTGAAAGCCTTTCCTCACACCCAGGCCCATTCGCACAGCAAAAGATAACACTCGCTTCAAGAGGGATTCTGGGACCTTCAGGATCTCACCCACCTGGCAACAAATTAAATGCAATAATATTCCATCAACCAATACTGTGCAGGTTATGATTATTGTCTTCACAGAAACAATTGAATTGAGACCATGTGAGACAGCATATTGCTCAGGATACTATAGAGATAATCCATAAATTGCAGATGAGATTCTGCACCATTTCCTATATTCACCAGATCTCATCTTGTCAGATTTCTGGCTCTTTCCAGCACTTAAGTATGCCATGGTAAGTCACCATTTCAAACAACAAGGTTATTTGCAGGCATAAGTTACTCATTAGTGACAGCAGCTAGTAAGAGAATCCTTCATTCTTGTCTTTATGCATTAAGTTCACATATGGGAAGGAAATATCCTTTTCCCTGAGTGGTTCCAGTTCCTTCAAGAATCTAGAATAGCAGGGATTGGATGCAAAGTTTTCAGTTGATATTTGGGTACAACAACATTTTAGTTCTTGGGGAAGGGGAGTTCTGTATATCATGATTCATGTACTCATACTTACTTGCGCCTATTTCCTTAATATTGTGGTCGCATAGGTATTGAATAGAATCTAAACTTAGGCTTATATAATGTGTCATATGGATTTTAATATTAGCATTGGTTTTTCAATATTGCATTTTCAGACTGTCATACAATCAAAGGAATTCAATAAACTGAGATCTATAAAACAAATTCCTTCATTAATAAAATGAATTACCTCTTTGACAGAGCTGTCGTGGTGAATGGAGACAAGAACCTTATAAAGCAGTGTTTCAAAATAATCTCCCATCAGGCGATTCATGACAAAACCTTCCAATGGTGGAATTTCAACACAATCTCCACTGTCAATTGGGACATCCACGTATACCAACCCCTTCCTAATGAAGGGAAAATGCACCTATATCAATCCACGTCAAGTTAGAACATGTGATAGTCAATCATAAACTACCTATGGCAAAAAAGTACTTTTGAAGAAGTGAAAGTAGGTAACTTGGGAGTCATATGAGCACAATAAAAGAAAAAAAATTGCCAATATTTGAGGTGCATCTTGAGCTGGTTGATGTTTAAAATTTGAAAATGTTTTCTACTTTAACAATAAAACAACTGTTGCATAAAATTACTCCAATACAATATACATCTTTGTTTCAGTAATGGTGCTTCAATATCCTATTAAACCTGTTAGGCTGAGACTTGATTAAGTGAGTTGTGCCTATTGATTCTCCAGTGTTTCTCTAACTTTCATGTAAGCAGGAAGGAAATATTCCTACCATTATTTGGGCACAAAAAAACTACAGATCTAAGTAAGGATCATGTGCAAGAAATTCAAATCTGTCTATTTTTCCCTTTTTTGTTTCACACCATTGATGAATTGATTCTTGGTCAATAAGGACATATGAATCGACATTGCTGTACAAATCACACAGACTTGATATGAGGTAGTTTTACTTCCCAGTCAAATCAATGAATTCCAAGATCGATAACTTGACCAGCAAACACACCAAACATGAATGACATTTATGTCCATTATAGGGAAGTACTTAGCAAGAGGATTCTAAAGGCCCATATTCCCATTTCCTCCTGTGGTGAAAGGAAAAAGGAACTGTGGGTACATTTTTTCATTAATTGCATCTGTGGATGTTAGGATGGAAGAGCAATTACCTTTGAGCTGTGCCTAGGACAGGACCATAGAAGGGCATCCCTGCCTTAGAGACAGTAATTTGCAAAGATGCTAGTGCCAGCAGGCACCTATTTCTTCTCTGTACATTATAATACATCAATTTTTCTATGGTCTCAGCATGTAGGGTAAAAGACCCAGTGATGGACCGGTCCCCAGTGATGGGCCACAGCACATAAAAATTCCAATAGCTAAGCTTCCAAGGCACGCCAACCCCTGTTGTGACATAAGCTTGCAACATTCAAGCATATACACACTTCAGAGGTAGTCATTTAACAAATGCTTGGATTTTGGAATTTTCCTGCGACATGGCCCATCACTGAGTACACGCCCTAAACAGGCCCATCACTGGGTCTTTTACCCTACCATCTCAAAGAATGCATAAGAACACAAATTTTCCCTTGTACAAAGTACCCTTAACTTTTCTGAAGCTGTTCTTGCACTAAAGGTGCTGTTGTCTACCAGGAAAGTCACACTCAGGGGATTAAGGGCATTAGATGGCAATGAAGCAGGAGAATTTCAAAGGTATTAGGTTGTTCCAAAATAAATGTCCGATTTTCGAAGTGTAATGTTTTGTCTATCATTATACCTGTCAATTTTGCGATAACCAGGTATTGTTATATACCGTTTTTTTCAGCAAACCTTTCTCTATGTAAGCCACTTAGTTGCTTTTTATTTATCTTCAGCCTAACGTTCCTGTAGCTGCCAAAGCGAACGATGGAGAAACGCAACTTTCGTCCGATTTTTCTTTACGAGTTCAAACTTGGAACTAATGCTGCCGAAACGGCGAATAAAATCAACACTGCGTTCGGCCAAGGATCGGTCACGGATCGCACCATTCGACGCTGGTTCGAAAAGTTTCGTAACGGAGATGAGACTCTCGAAGAACAGGAAGGTAGAGGTCGGAAAGAGTCTCTTGACGACGCCGTTCTGAAGACTATGGTGGAACGTGATCCCCATGTAACGGTCCGAGAGCTTGCGGAAGAATTGTCTGTTGGCATCGCAACCGTTTCCCGTCATCTGAACGACATTGGAAAGACGAAGAAGATGGACAAATGGGTTCCGCACGAACTCACCGCGAGTAATCGCACTCGCCGATACGAGATCAGCTCCGCATTGCTTCTACGCAACACAAACGACCCTTTTCTCGACCGTATTGTTACGTGCGACGAAAAGTGGCTCCTGTACGACAATCGTAAACGATCGGCGCAGTGGCTGGACCGAGATGAGCCTCCCAAGCACTTCCCAAAGCCAAGCGCTCACCCGAAGAAGACTATGGTCACTGTATGGTGGACTTCAACAGGAGTGGTGCACTACCACTTTCTGAAACCTGGTGAAACAATCACAGCGGAGAAGTACTGTGACGAACTGGACACGATGCACGAGAAACTTCGCAAACTTCAGCCTGCATCGGTCAACCGAAGGGGGCCAATTCTGCTGCACGACGACGCCCGACCGCACGTCGCACATCTCACCGTACGCAAACTGAATCAGCTGGGCTATGAAACTCGGCCTCATCCACCATACTCCCCAGACATATCACCTATGGATTACCACTTTTTCAAACACCTGGATCACTTCGTCAAGGAGAAACACTTCCACGATCAGACCTCTGCCGAAGATGCCTTTAAGGATTTCATCGCCTCCAGAACCCAGGATTTCTACTCGACTGGGATCAACAAGCTTGTATCTTGTTGGCAGAAGTGTGTTGAAGCGGATGGTGCTTACTTAGATTAAAAATGTTCATTATCAGCTGAGTTACGACCCTTCAAAGTTTGCGATCGAATTCGGACATTTATTTTGGAACAGCCTAATATGACAAGCAATAACAAAACCTACCACAAAGTGGGTGATCAATGAATTACAGACTCATGAAAAGCAATAAAGGAAAAATGTTTGAACTCTCAGACACTCACTGGTATAGGGAATGGACACTTGAGTAATCCAGTGATCCTGCTTTCTGGGGTCCATCATCTATGAGCTTATCAATCACACTCTTCTCAGTCTCATTCACCATCTGCTCATGTTGGCAAAGAGAATAAATGTCATACAAATGAGATTCAAGGTAAACCAATCTCAACATCAAATATCTGAATTATGATCACAATACAATAAACTTGGGAATGCGAATGGATTTTACATGTATGCAGGAGGGTCCCAACACATTGCATTTGAACAAAATATGCAATCTATTATTGCAGGAGAGACACAAACCTTCATATCTTGTTCAGTGATGTATCCTTCATTCAGAATCCACCAGGGAGCAATATGAACATCTTTTGGCTTCGAGGGAAGGAGGTCTCGATTTGACTTCCCCCTTCGGAATAGCTTCTTCCCTCCTCTGCTCTCATTCATCATTTCTATGTACTCATTCCTTCCTATTCCCAACAGGCGTAGGACTGTCCAATAAGCAAATGCATTGTGTCATTTGTACATCAGTCAACATGGAATTTAAGTAGAACCAAAACAATATGCAAATAAAAATATGCTACACCTTCACAGCAACCTGAGATTAGGTGAAAGAGCGAAATCAAAGAAGCTTTAAAGACTTGCAGTTTTGGTGGGTGCAAGTATTTGAGACAGAACTTCATAAATACTAAAAGATAAAATGATGAAGAAAGCCTCAACTCACACCTCCACTAGCGGCCTGCACCCAAGTGCTGCTTCTGGTTGTGTGGTGGATATCTTGAGCATTCTATCTCATTAAGAGTTTAGCTAAAATATTTTTAGCCCAAGAAGCCCGAACTGCAGTAATCCCAGGCAGCATTTTCATTTGCATAGTGAATTAGCTGAGAATCCTCTTCAATCTGAATCTTTGATGCTTTTGGGATGGGCAGATGGCTTTAAGTGTGTCTCATCATATGAAATACAGTGGTGATCCTTAGAGATTGCAGTTATTCCTCATGCTTGTTTCTGGTATTGATGCTGAACTGGTACAAAGGTTTCTTAGAATTATGCAATCTTCTCTTTCTTCTTCGGGAGAATTCCCCTTCTTCTCAAAGAAGAAAAAAAATCACTAATAAATGTTTGTACTACACGATGTAGTCATGGTGTTACTGCTTTAGTTAGGGAGTTCTCAACTTTTGCAATAAGTAAATAACATCATCCACATTCCTGGAGATGAAGTGAAAAGGCAGAACTGATTAATATATGCATCATAACAAATTGTATAACTGCCATGAATAGGCCAAAGATGCCAGAAATAACAAAGGATTCAAATGAACTCAAACCAATGTGAGAAGTGTGCAGAGTCTGATGTCAACTCACCATCAGCGGCAGTGAAGTTGGGAAGGGAGTCATAGTTCTTCTCCTTGTCCATGAGTTCCTGGACCATATCAACATAGAATTGGAATGGGGTGATTCTCAGGCCCTTCACAAGCATGTCTTGAAGGTGATATGGGTAGATCATGAGGTGCTCTCGAGAGAACCTCAGTAACTCCATGTAGTACTCTTGAGCATCCTTCCGTAATCGGCTCACTGTTGAGAGAATCAAGAGGCTTTCATGCCTATACCAATCACTGCAACACCAATGGTGAACTGAGAATCAGACTCCAGCCAGCTTCAGACAATGTTTTGACAAGACAAGAGTTAGGTTTGGAAAGCATGGCGAAAACACACTTGGTCCTTATCAATCAATCTAGTGGGAAGGGGAAACTATAAGGACTATAAGGATACTATTGGAACCTATAAGAATTACCATGACTAGCCATATATATCAATATTTGCCAAAGAAAGCAATATAAATCTACTCTGATTTTTTTCAACCTCTATTTTGTTTTGTCTTGGCAGCTATATGGCAATAGTCTGTATTGATGGTCAAGAGAATCTCCAATTTAAAATTAACATTAAACTCAAAGATGATACAAGAATACAAGTATGATGAAATCATGACTCACCAATATTGCCTTGAAATCTCATTTGATTTTTCAGGCTAAAATCCACTACCAGTCTCTCATATGCCTTTGGATTACTCCCAAGAAGCTGGAAATAAATTCAGACATGAATAGGCTAAGACAACAAAAAATGCCCTGGAAGCGATTCCATCAACATTATTCTCATTAAAAAGTTAGCTGAAGAGGACTTGCCAATGAGGTGAATCAAGGTATACAATGACTGAATACTTTCTTATACCTCTCATCAACATTGAATAAAAGTACTCCAAGGACTACTGACGTAACTGCAATGAACATATTCCAAGAAGGGCAGCCTTAGCTCTCATAGAGCTACAAATCTTCAAATGATCAACTGCTTCCCACTGATATTGGCTGATGCTTTTCTACATATGATTTTCTGCACATTTGTCATTGTCTGTTGATATTCAATCTTCAAGCAAGTCTATGGGTAAATGGATAGTCACAAGAATATATTGTATGTCTTTTGCACTTTGAAAGCAGCAATTGTTCCAGGAACTATATGGATAAACTAAATGCATAAATGGTGTTGCTATGAGATACAACAGATTTTGGATGTGTAGAATAATTTTCACTGCTAAAATTCACTTGATTCTAAATTGAATTAAAGAAACTTTTGGAGACAAGACATACGGGAGACTACAAATAATAATCACAATAGGCAAACAGTAATTTATAATTTCAAGTAGACATGGTCTTCAGCCCATGTAATACTTTTCAGATAGAGAAAGAAGTTCAGAAGAAATAGGGGAGCAAACCTCTTTCATTGGATTGGGGAGCATGTTGTAGGAGATGTTGTGCCGTATAAAATGATCCAATTTCTCATGAAGATTGCCTGTAGCCATGTCTGTCAGTTCAATCAGTCACAAATCTTCCTTATTGAAACATATATATAACAATTCGGGCACTGGTATACCAATCTAGAGCAAGTAGAGCAAAGCATCTTGTAGTAATGATTGAGTAATGATGATGCTGAATCAAATTAAATTCAGCTTTTTCAACCTCTGCTATATGTGGCAAACTATTATTTAAAGAGAAAAAGGTTTCATCCTTACTTTTTCCAAGATGGCATTGTAAATCTTATTGTAGTCAGGGAACTCATTTTAGCTATGATGTGGCATATTTACTTAGCTGGAGGTGGATTGAACAAAGGAAAAGAAAAAGAAATAAGAAAATACCAGGAACAAGAAACAAAAAATAGGTCAAGAAAAGGAAGAAAATGGTGGACATCCGGTCACCAAATTCAGCTTCATTGCTGAAATGTTATGAAAGGGCTATCACCAATGCTATTCTATTTGAATGAGAACATGATTAACAAGACTGCCTTTTTAAACATCACCCCAAAATGCTAAATCATGCATATTATGTGCCATGCTAACTAGCAAGAGATGTCAATTATAAGCCATTTTCTATTCCCTGAGTTGGTAGTATAAGTCACCAATGTGAGAGAGTCTAGATCTCATAGTAAATCATAAAATAAGATTACCTAACTGTCTCGTTGGCTTTCACAGCTGCTACAATCCTATGAAATGGACCACCAAGTAGGTACATTTGCATTATATTGAATTCATACCTGCCAGAGGAATGCTTTTCTATTGATTGCAAATGGTGAGACATTACAAATTGATAGGTCAACATTTTATAAAGGCTCTTTGCATTGGTTGACTTGGCATTAATGCAATGCCAGTTATCTGCCTTGAGATTTTCCTGCCTTCTGACCAAGGCTGACTTAGATCTGGTCGACCGTGTCACAACACAAAACGTGTTAAGTCTAATGGTATTTTCCTTCACTAATGAGTCTTCTTAAACAAGTACAAGAAAACTGTGGGGAAAATGTATCTGAGGCATAGAAGCTATCCTACATGCTACCTATATGAAAGAGACCAATAGCAGTCTATTTTCAAACATTTTCACTCGTTTGATTGCCATATCCATTGTATGAAGTTTCTCAATATTCCTGAAACTGAAGCAAGGCTAAAAGTACCTTGCATGTGGATCCTTGCTTTGCAGAGATGGTCCATGAGGGTTAAAATTACATTTTCTGCTGCAGCAGTCATAAACCCTCAGGTCAATGTAAATATGACAATTTTCTAATGACATCATGTGAAGTTCACGGTTTCTCAGCAGGAAGCAGCTGTAGGTTATGATGGCTACTGCTGAGTTCATGTGTTACACCAATGGCATTCAGTTCCAGTTCCACTTTAAAGGTACTACATTTTCCAATGAACGAATAATGAAAATCTAAGAAATAGTTATAGACTACTTCTGCCAGTTCTCTCATTACCATGATTATTCATTAAAAACATAAAACTGCATGATGTTCTTCATGATTCATCGCATGAATGCATGTATCACTAGCCATAACACAACCCTGTTGAAATTAAGCATTATAGCAGGCAAATTACCTGGCAATATACTGTTCACCATCCAGGTAGATGCCACTTCAATAGTGAGGCCCAAGTGTAAGCTTAATTATTGGCTTAACGGTTCCATGAAACAATTTGAGTCACCCTATCGATAGCAGCCTATATCTAAGTTTGCGCTAAATTGATGAGTTCGTTCGAGAATCACAACACACATATTAGCCTCAAGTTAGGCTAACCCATGGATGCAGGAGGACGCCATTGTACTCGGAAGTATCTGGCAGTGTTGCCAGACTTTTTTGTGATATGGTTTCACCACGCGGTAATAATTTCCTACGGCCTTGGTGACAGGTATACGCGTTAAACCCTTGGGGTTTTGTTTCTTTTTTAGGTAACAAGCAAAAAAATTCAACTTATTTCGTTTGTTCTTCTTTCAACTACAGTATCCATTCAAGTTCAAATCTGTCATTCTACTGGTCACCATGTGACACCCACGTGAACTAGTGCTACCATTTTAGGTGTCGCGTGTATGGAAAAAGAAGGGGAAGGAGAATTCTTGGATCCTGTTCTCAGGCATTTCATTTGCCTTTTCTATCCTAATTTGGTTTCTTTTGCTGAAGAATGAGACTTCTCTGCCCCCTCACCCCGCCTCCCCTCCCGACACTGGCGCCGCTTGCTACCAGTTAAATACTGGCTTCGGCATAAGTCGCTTTACCAAGAATAACTATTTTTATATTTGGCTGCACTGATTTGGCAACACTAATTATAATACGCTGTAGAAATAGAATTTCTACTAAACCGCAAGCTAGTCAGCTCACTACTGCACCCAGCGTATTAAAATCATATTGCCAAATCAGTACAGCCAAATCTAAACAAATTTATTCGCGGTAAAGAGACTCATGCCGCACCCTGTATGTGTCCCTACAGGCACAAACTGTTCAAAAAAGGTAGAGAATCGAATACTCATTCATGTCGATTGGGGAGAGGAGCTCATAATAAGAAATCCTTCTGGAGACCGGAGAGTGCGAATGTGTGTAAGCTTAAACTGTTTGGGGCCGCACGGTTTGTGAGTTGCGAACCCGAATACCGCAAAAATCGAAAATTTGTTCTACAGGGTGGGGCAAAAGTTACTTTACAGTTCTTTTATACTGAAAGTTGCTGTTTCGGCAATTTGGTTCTCTTTGTTTCAGAGTAAAATTGCTGGATGAAGCCTTTGAAATTACATTGCACGATCATATTTCTACGTTATCAGTCTTTTTTGTTAAATCCCAGACGACTGACTCTCCCAGTGGCAGCCCATATTTCGTTAAGGGTCTGCTGTGAAGGGAATCGGTTTCATTCCGCCTGGAGAGCAGAACGCACCATTTCAGACAACAAAAAATAAATAAATAAATAAATAATGCACACACGAGCACAGGATGGGCGGGAGTCTTGCTGCTGTATGGGTGGTTCGTGCGGTGGAGGGCCTGTAACAGCCTCATTACGAATAACGTTGCCTTTTCGGGCAGATTCCCTCGACATCTAGCGTATAATGGTGAAATTATCGTTTGAAATATCTTACAATAGGTAGGACTACTCAAGTTTTTTTTCGCCTGAGAGTCAAGGCTATTATGGAATGCTTAGAGACGTTTCATGTGCGAAGAGCCCTACTGGGGTACTAAATCCCAAGAAGTGAAATTCCCAGAATTCTTTGCGGATGAAAAAAGAATTCGATTAAGTTGAGGAATAAGTGAATTTGGGTGGATTGCGAATGCGAATAAATCGATGAATTGTTCATAAATTTGATATTTAATATCTGGAGAAGATTTCGGAAAATTTTTGCAGATCTCGTCGAGGTCGTTCTCGTTAAACAGTAACGTACACGATCCAAAATGCGATTTTGCAATAGCACGGTCTGCGTATTTGGAAAATGAAACTCGCCGAACACTCCTCTACCCTTGACAAAAAAAAAAGAACAAAAAGAGAAGACAAATAAATGAAAAAAGAAAGAAGAGGAAACCAAGGTCTCACAGTCTCCAGCTGGATACTAGTCGCTAGTCGGCACTGCGAGAGCAGAGATGGAGTTCCTGGGCGTAGACATCCCCACATCTGGCCTCATTTTCCTCGCCCTCCTCTTCCTCCTGTACAAATACTTCACTCGGACGTGGGGCACGTGGTCGAGCCAGGGGATCCCCGAAGTGAAGCCCTGGTTTGTCGTCGGCAGCCGATTCACCGTTTACAAAGGTAGGAGATGCGTTAACGTACGCGTATTTAGCTCAACGTGTGGAGCGGGGGAGAAACCAATTCACGGTATGCCAGCCCCAAAGTTAAGAATTATTGGATTGACTTGCCGGATGGTGCGTGCGTGGAATGCTCTGGGTGATGATGTGGTGGGAATAGCTTTAAAAAGAGGTCCCAGGCTTTCAGAGGCAAAAAAAAGGGGGAGGAATATAGCTGTAGGCAAACCAGCAATACAATTTAATGGACCATAAAGTTCTTCTCAATGGAAGGGTTGACATAAATGAATGGAAGGGTAGGAAGTAGAGTCTCCTATATTCCTGGAAAGCCCTCATACGGACGAGAGTCTTCTCCGGGGACGATCTACCAAGCCAGTATAGTCTATACGCAAAGACCTCGGAGGACGGATCTCCAACATATAGCGAGTGATTATGGAGAGAGGAAAGTGACAGGGGCAGACCTAACCCGATTATAAGGCAATGGAGGTTAGGGGGAGGGGGGGGGGGGGGGCGAGGAACTCGTGCTGTGCCATTGAAGTGGGGTACGCCCCTCCATGCAGGCTTCACTCTCGGAACTGGGGGGGGGGGGGGGGGGGGGGGGGGGGGGGGGGGGGGTGCGAGGAACTCGTGCTGTGCCATTGAAGTGAGGTACGCCGCTCCATGCAGGCTTCACTCTCGGAACTCTAAATGGGAGGAGCTGTTTCTGGATCTTGCCTTTCTCCCCCCCCCCCCCCCCCCCAAGGGAAGGATAATTTTTGTACTCTGACCCCCTCGGTTGGAAACATTGTTTCTTTCGAGCAGACCATCTGCATTTGGTTGACTTGGAGCACCGCCGTCGCTATGGGAGGACATGGGGTGAATACGAGGGCCGCCGGCCACTGCTTTTCACTACCGACACCGAGTTGGTGAAGCTGGTCACCGTCAAGGAGTTCTCCTTCTTCACTGACCGACGAGATTTCGACCTCAAGCAGGAGATCTTCCAAGATTCTCTCGACCAGCTACAGGTAAGGTCCTTATCTCTGTTCTATTTAAGGCATCACGCTTTCGTTCCCTTATCTTTTTTTTTTTGCCCTCTCGATTTTAAAAGGCGGCCATATGACAGGACCGTTAAAGCAAAGGGCGTCGAATACCACTCTGCGAAATATGATATGATAAGTGTGCTGTTCCAAGCCATTCAATTCAGTGAATTTAAATGTTACAGGAGGGTTCATCACGATCCTACAATAAGTTAGTAACAGGATTCAAGCAGAAAGAAGAGGGAGTGCCGATGCGAAGTTTCCAACAGTTTCCCCTCTCCTTCCAGCTTAAATATTATTATTTATATACCCTTCAATTTTTCATGATGAGGTGCAAAAGCGAGCCGAATGAGAGAATGCGGTTTGAATCCTTCCATAAAAGTAGCTCATTTCGCTAGACGGACAGTTCCTTTCTCGAAAAGAAACCAATACAACAGGGAGAAGAAAAAAAAAAAACCTCGTTCACCCGCAAGTGTTGCCGAAACAGGAAGAGTCTGCCTTGAGGACCTATACCCATATGATACTTAGCTACTTCTCCGATTCGCTGGACGAAATTGGACTAGGACGTCGTTCATCTGTGGAGAAGCCCGAGGAAGATGATTTATTTATTTTTATTACTGTAATGCTTTTTTCTGAAATCATATCAATCTTTTTTATCTCTGGAACCATTCAGGAAGGATAACAAATTCTTACATGCGTCACGCGTATGACATTGACTTCCAATAATTTGAAAGGTGCTTTGAACCTGGAGTATATTATGAATGCAAATATTTCATTTAATATCTTGTATTGTTTGGTCTTAAAAATTTTTTTTCCAGTTATCGTTCTTGCGCGCCATATCTACAGATGTATTTTATTTAAAAATTTAAAAATTTGAAATTACTAATGTAATTCATTTTATTCTTCTTCTATTTATTCGATTATCGATTCCCCCCGAAAGACATGGATCAGAGACTCTATACTTTTTCTCCAAATTTCAACGTTCACTTTCACATCCTCGTCTCCATGTCATCTCTCTTTTGTAGGGAGAGAAATGGAAAGCAGTACGATCCCTCCTAGGCCCGGGATTCACGGGAAACCGAATGAAGACCACGGCCCCCATGTTCCTGGAATGCGCCAAGACCCTCACCGAGGTGCTGAAACAGGACGGGGCTGACGGCAAGAAAGGACTTCATCTATCCAGGTCCGACAATTCTGCTTCTGACCTCTGCTCAAGTAGACAAAATTTGTTGAACCCAGAGGCTCGAGCGGAAGAGCTACATGGGTTGCCAGTGCAGGCAGTAGTTTCTCTTCTGTCGTCCTAAGTGCGAGCGGAACTCAAAGGGCCTCACTTCGACATCACAGCATTCCGTTCTTTTCCCTTAAGCTTTCATTCCCATAGCAACTGCATGGATATGACGCAAATGGGATGAACAATGGAGTCCTTGTAGATCATAGTGTTGGGAAATTGCCGTGGAGAATTAGTGTCCGAGTCGCGGGAGCCCTTCACTTCTTCGCTTTGCAAAGTCACATCTTTCCCATTGATTGAAATTAATGAATGCTATGGATTCAATGGTTAATCATGAAATCCGTACATGTTAAAAACATTGCGATTCATAGGGAGTTCTTACTACTTCTATTCTTTTTAGGCAAATTGCAATAGATGTCTACTCTTCAGTCATTGATGTCTTAGTTTTAAGGTAAAAGTCCGGAATTGGATTGAATAAAAGCTGTTTACATCATCCTCTAAGAGTGCAATCCTTGTTAGAATATATCATTCGCAGAATGCCATATATTTTTATTGCAGGTATTACGGAGGTTTCGGATTGGACGTAATCGCATCGTATGGATTTGGAGTGGAGATTTCCTCAATGAAAGATGCTGACAACCCATTTGTGAAAAATGCTTTGCGCCTCCTCTCCAACGAAAAAGTCGACAACCCAATGGTCCTACTTCCGCGTGAGTCGAAAGTTATATGGAAATGTTAATTTAACTCCTTTTGTCCAGAAAAAAATTAAAGTTGTAAAAATTAGAGTTGTACCGATGTTTCGGCTGCCACCGATATCGGCTACCGGTATCGGCTGCCGGTGTTGCACTACCGGCACCATCGGCCATCGGCAGGTTTGCAAGCTGCCTATGCCGATGCCTAAAGGATAGGCAAAACTCACGAAATATACTAGAGTGAACCTGTGAACCCAAATATCGATCGGATGGCATTTCAACCCTATCCTAGGAACTGGAGGAGGAAAAAAGCGGTAAAGAACGAAAAATCATTGCACCTCCTTTTCTGACTCCTTTTGCTAGAGATGTCATTCTACACTTTTAAAAGTAGCAATAGGTAGAAGCTAACTCCTGACGGACACAGGCATACAGTATGAAACATGGTCTCTATCGTTTTTAATGGGGCCCCTGGCGAGTATCACATGGCTTCCATATGGGCCTATTTGAATTAGTATGCAATTTCATGTTACCTCTCAATTTTCAAACGACAATCAGCCCCGACCGAAGGTTATGAGATGAAAATCGGCCCACCGGCCAAAGGTGGCTATTGGTACATCCCTAGTAAAAGAAAAAAAAGAAAAAAAAAAGAAATACTTTTCCTTATTCAACCGTCCCCAATGAACCGTCATTAACCGCAAAAATACAAATTCCAAGTGAGGTCACAGGGAATCAGAAGTCCGGCTAGGCTTCAAGACCGTGGATTCCTACGTAGCTCTGCAAAATATACGACAAAAATGTGGGACTCTTGGGTTCCGCCAAGACTGAACGGGTTAAAGAGTGTTAAAGACCGCCATGCGAAGTCCATGTGAGGGTTTTCATTCCTAGTGGCGTTTCCAAAGCTGTTCCATTATATGGACTTCTTCCCGTCGGAGGCGAGTGACTTCTTCGTCAAGGTCATCCGGGAGATCGTCCAGGCTCGGAAGCAAAAACCGGATGCTGGAACGAGGAAGGATTTCCTCGACATTATCCTCCAGGCTCTCAAGCAGGTATAGTCAGGAAGAGCAACAGATTATATAATATGATAATTTGTGACATCTGGAAGACGGTGCTTTGCCTGGCTAAAGTATGTTAGAGTAGAACCTCTGATATGTTAATGTAAAAATCCATTTTATTTTAAAATAATACTCTTAAGTTTGCATTATGAGCTTAAAAAAATGTGAAGAACAACGCAACAAAGGATTGCTTAAGTTTGAAGCAAAAAGTGCTTCAAATTTAGGATAACTTTTAAAGCAGAAAGGGCATGTGTGTATTAATACAAGAGCGTAAGATAACTTTGGAAAAAAAAAGCTCCAAGGCAGTGCGAAAGGAACAACAGTAGTTTTTGGTCTCTACTGCAGTTGGAGGAGAACGAGGACTACCGACGATTGGGCATAACGCAGAAGGTGCTGGAGGCACAACTGATAGTGTTTTTTCTGGCCGGCTTTGACACGGTGAAGACCACCATGAGCTTCACTTCCTATTACCTCGCTCTCCACCCTGAGATTCAATCCAAGGTGAGAGAGGAGATCCTGGATGCAATCAAGGCAACAGACGGAGAGATCCGACACGACACCTTATCCAAGTTGCCCCTTTTGGATGCATGCATCGCCGAGTCACTTCGCCTTCATCCCCCACTTAGTCGCCTCGAGAGGGTTACTAAACGTGACTTCCAGTAAGTTATTTCCTGATGAAGTTAACATGTTGGAAAATTAACATATTCCCAACAGATCCTATACAACTTTGCAACCCAGTTAAACGAGCTATTTAAGCTAATCTGTAGCACCAGGAGTTGATCACAGCTTTTTCTCTCAGCAAAACATCTTATATACACGTATTGTCAAGTCGCATTAAATTCTTCATCATTCAAGGCCTGTGTTAGCTGAGTTTGTATTGCCATGTAATTTTCTTGGAATTGAACAAATTTTAATTGAATTTTCGTCCAAATTAATTATGTAAAGTAGACTAATGCACACTGAGTCAGCTCCTTCCCGTGGAACAAACACGTGGAATGAATGTTCACGAACTCTTTCCTTCGGCAGAATTGAACAATGGAATAAGTCTGAAACGAGATAATTTGGAAGTCAGAGCGATTTTATGAAAAAAACTAGACTTTCGTAGTGCTTGCACGAAGTATGCAAAAAGTTAATTTCTTACTCACTTGCTCTATTTAAGTTGACACTTATCTAGGAATTGCCTTGGGGCCTCGCTGTAAAAAAAAATCCATTTATAACTGTATCTCGGTGAAGGAGTTTTATTGCTAGTCTTAAACCTTTTTACCAGGGCTTGATTCATCCAATTCCAAAGGGTAGGATAGGTACATAGATTAGAGAGTCATTGGATGGATCAACCGGGTGGCGATCCGTCCCGGCGTGCCCATGTTTTTCAAGAGGTGAGAGTTTCCAATCGATACTTTATGTTGGCTCTCTCCTAGCAGCTACCGAATCCGGGTGAAGTCTTCCTCCAATATTCATATTCTAGAGCTGATTCATACACCAGGACTCAGGGACTCCTTTCGCTTTTCCCCGTCCTGTCATTGAATTCCTTCAAATTTATTTATATATAATTAATGACATTGGGTGAGAGAGAATAGCTCATCGCACGCGTTGGATAGACAGGAAAGTTTCATTCGTTCTGGTTCCCAGTGACCCAGATTGTACCACACTGCGAAAGTCACATTGGATGGAAATAAATGCTATGTTAGGAAATAAATGCGGATGTGTTTCCTAAACGCCAAAATAAAGGAAACCAGTCCGTTTTTGAACATGGAAACAGGAAAGTTATTTTACGCAACGAAACCTCTAGCGAGACGATATATGAACTGCTGGGTAGCCCCGTGTAAGTTGCAGACACATAATGCAATCACCAGTTGTTTGTTTTCGCAGCTACAAGAACATCGTCATCCCCAAGGATTCCCTGGTAATGATTCCTGTCTACGCGCTTCATCGGGAAGAAGAAGAATTCCCAGAGCCTGAAGTGTGGAAACCGGAGAGATTCCTGGAGGAGAACAAGAAGCACGATCCGTATGCCTATCTACCCTTTGGGATCGGTCCTCGCATGTGCATCGGACAGAGGTCTGCTCATGTTTGCATTAGCTTTAGGCATCTGTCAGATGCCCAGTCAAAATAGGTGACATCACTAAAAAATATTAAGAATTGAACATGAAATGATGATCAGTATGGAAGTAAAAATAGCTTGAAAGTAATGAAAGGCAGGAAAATAATAATGCAAATTAAAGGCTATATAACACGGTATATCATATCTACTTCATTTCTACTTCGTATTTTGCTTTGAAAATTAATTTGTTAATTGCCCTTGAGCGCTAATGGGATTTAGAAAATGAGTTAGGAGTTGTTTCCAATCGATGCGCTGTGGGCGTATTCGTTGACTAACGTTGCTGTGTTTGACTGGAATGAGCAGGTTCGCACAGGAGATGATGCGCTATGCATTCGTCCACATTCTGAAAGAGCTGGAGATCGTGAAAACGGCTGACACCCCGGAAAAGGTGGAATACCTCAAAGGCTTCCTCTTCCTCATACAACCAACCAATCTGGTTGTCGGTTTCCGACCTCTTCATTGATTCTTCTTTTTCGCTTCATGAAAGCTTCCTCTTCCCGGTGCAACTCGATCAGCTTGGTTTTCGCTCATTGTGCTCTCTAGTGGCACTAAAAAGGCATTTCATGAGTTCGAGCTTCGTCCTATTCAATAGGTTATCCTATATAACAAGCTGAATACAGGATAACCATCAATTGTGGCTTAATCTATCGCGATAACGAAGAAACCACAGACCGGAATTAAAGTGTGAATGCCGGCACATAATGATATTCCTACTGTTTACCAAAGGGCTTTCATTTCCCGCCGTTAAAAAATCATGGAATGGTGTCTTCTCTAAAGCTCGTCAGCAATAAGACAATAATAAAATTGCTATTGACTTGAATGCCTGAATATCCAATAAGGAACTGAATGAATGATCGAAGATTTATTATAAACGTATGAACTATTATGGTAGTTTTTCGTTTTTATTTTTCATCCATACGCCGAAAACTACTTTTTCCTCGTGTCCATTTCTCAGATTGAAGCCCAAGAAGGTCATGTATTTTGTTTTCGGAAGGCCAACCTAAGAATTAGGTAGTTGGAAGAACGGACATGGTCATCGATAGCATTTGCAGGCCTTCACCCAACACGAAAAGCAATTTCACGGCATCCTGTCGAATACGCCAATAAAATTGTCGGCCGTCCCAAAGAAGACTCCTTTCCAACGGCATCTCGTGCACTGAACTGGACTTTTAAATGCACCTTGTATTTTCTTGTGTGCTTAAGATATCTCTCAATGCGGTCGGATATTTTAACACGATCAATAGGCATGTCCTGTCCGTAAAGGACAGGTTCCGTTACTAAACACTCGTCCAATTGCCGGAGCGATTGGGCTCGACGGTATGCAGCATCTCCGTTTGCTACGGAGCGAACTGGAGCCTAGAGCAGCAGGACATATCACCCCTTCTGTTTCATCATGGCAACGTCCACACGTGCAAAAATTGGCTGGGCATGGGGGATGCCCAGTTGACAGCATACTTAAGAAACCCTTTTACTCTGCCTTTACCATAGTGACCAATGGGAAAAAGGCAAATATTGCATTCGGTTAGTCACATTTTCCCCCCCGTGTCCACAGTGGCCATGGCAACCCGGAACATTCTGGAGGAGGCAAGACACGGCTAATCTATGAGAGCCAGCTCATATTGACATTGCAGACCGAAAACGGGATTATCAGGAGTCAATCGGATATTCTAACAGAACAAAGAAAGTTCTATTCACGAGACTCGACGATCGAAATTGTATCAGAATCACGAGACAGACTTGCGGAATCGGCCACAGTTCCCTGAGCAGCAGAAAATGTCATTAGAAGGTGAAATATCTGCAGAGGAGGTAGTTCAAGTCCTAAAAAAATTTTAAAAGGTAAAAGTCCCCTGGCTCAGACGGCTTTACAAAAGGATTTTATAAAGCTTTCTGGGATGATATCGACTCATTCCTAGTTAGGTCCATCAGTCACAGTTATAAAAATATGATTTCCCTATCTGTTTAGAGCTCCAACTGAGAGATCGTCACCAAGTAAGGGCATGGGGAGGAAGAGCGAGGACCCTTGTCCCTCTCCATGCCCAGCTCCCCCCCCCCCCCCCCCCCCCCCCCCCCCCCCCCACTTGAAAATGCCTCATTCCGCTTGGGAGGACAAGTGGGGGGGGGGGGGGGGCAGGTTTTGCGTTGGATGCATGACAACGCACAACCTCAGGTGACAAAACAAAATAAGAATGCACCCTCGAGCAGGAGATGGGCAGGGGTCTGGCAGCTCTCTATCTGGGTGCATGGACGTCTAAGCCTCTGATACCCTCGTTATGAATAATCTTGCCTTCGGGCAGACGCCTCCGACATCTGGCGTAAAATGATTAAATTATCGCCTTTCATATCTTGCTATAGATGGCCTACTCAAGGGGTCTTTCTTTCTCGAGAGTCAAGGTTGTTTTTTTTTATGCTATGAACCTCTCCATGTGCGAAGAGCACTACTCTGGCACTAATTCCCAAGAATGGAAATACATAGTATTATTTATGGATAAAAATGCGATTGAGTAAAGGAAGGAATACATTTCTTTTCTGTGGGGATGTTGAATGCGATCTAATAAATGAATTGTTCATAAAATATAACTTGCACATTTTTGGATGAGATTTCGGTCATATTTTGGAGATCTCGTAGAGGTCCTCCTTCCCATATCATCACGAACACGATCCAAAACACGGATTCTGTAAGCGCACGGTTTGCGTAGTTGCAAAGAGAATCGTGCAGAGCACTCCTCTACCCTGGAATAAAAAAAAAAGAGAAGGCCAAGACAAGAGAATGAAAAAAAAAGAAGAGAGAGGGCCAGGTTTTCTCATTCACAGTCGCTAGCTGTATAGGCGTGTTGCGAGAGCAGAGATGGAGTTCCTTGGCGTAGAAATTCCCACGTCTGGGCTCATTTTCCTCGCCTTCCTCTTCCTCCTGTACAAATATTTCACTAGGACGTGGGGCACGTGGTCGAGCCAGGGGATACCAGAAGTGAAGCCCTGGCTTGTTGTCGGCAGCCGACCCACCATTTACAAAGGTGGGAGATGCGTCAACGTACGTCTATTTATGCTCAGTGGGTGCAGCTGGGGAGAAACCAATTCACGTTATGACAGCCTCAAGGATTAGAATTATCGTTATTATTATCGTTTTTTCTTGTTAAGTGGTGCATGGATGGGGTGTGTTTGATGATGAGGTGTGGATAGCTCTAATGAGAGATTTTAGGAATTTAAAGGCAATAATAAAGGGAGGGAAGATAGATATTAGCTAACGAGACCACGCACTGAAAAGCCAGAAAAAACTCAATAGAAGGGTTGACTTATATTGAAAGGTGGGTAGGCAGAGTAGGGTACGAGGTAGAATCTTCTCATTCTTTGGAAGTCGTGGTAAAGACAATATTTTTCTCAGGCGACGATCACCCAAGTGAGTATAGTTCATTCGCACAGGCCCCCAAGGTCAGTTCTCCATACTTGTTAGCGGGTGACGAAGACAGAGTGAGGAATGGGACAGGGATAGACCCAATCCGATTAAATGGCATTGGACGTGGTGGGTTGAAGGACTCGTGTTATGCATGGATGTGAGGCTCTTCGCTGCATGCACTCTTCACTCCCGGAACTCAGGAGCGATGTTTCTGGATCCTGCCTTTATATTACTGCTCTTCCTCCCACTCCCTCCCACATAATGAAAGGAATGACTTTTGCACTGACTCCCTCGGTTGGAAACATTTTTCTTTGGAGCAGACCATCTGCACTTGGTGGACTTGGAGCACCGCCGTCGCTATGGGAGAACTTGGGGAGAATACGAGGGCCGACGCCCTGTGCTGAAGTGGTGGCTGCGGCTTAACCACTTTGACCAGTGGCAGTTCCTCAAGAGGAAGAAGTCGCTGGCTGCCCTAGAGCTAGAGTTTGTCCTCTAGAAGGTTCTAAGGGAGCTGGTCGACGTCCATGAATTCTGCGTTCTATTTAAGGCTTCTTTCGTTCCCTTATCATATTTTCCACTCCGATTTTAACACTTACTGTGCTGGAGACGTAAATATACGTTCGTCGCAGGTTGTCAGAGCTCACGCCTCTGGAACTCTCGAAAGAGGGACTATAGGTATTTGCCTTTTAAAGTGTAATTCTCGCTTACCGTATAATTTATTTCCGTATTATGCTTTGTCCTTTTGTGTAATTGGAAAAGCCCTTAATCTGTTGACTACTCGCAACGCATATTGGTGCGTCATGAAAACTTAAAATTCTCCCACCCTCCAAAATTCAGCTTTTTCACGTCTGCATACTTTCAGCTGCTTCGAACAAGTAGGACTCCACACAGGCGTCTGCATTCAACAATACCACAACTACTTGTAAAATTTGTGTAAGCTTATACAAGTGTGCATTAAAAGAAATGTAAAAATTCATCCATTTTCGCCATTTTCTGGTGTATCACAGTTACGGCGCCTTCAAAACGATGTGTACTCAAAGGGTTAAAAAGCTTGTGGGTAAAAACCACATATTTTCTCCCACGATAAATGTGTAATGAAAAGCGCAGATGTGATAGGGCCATAAAACATACACATGCCACTACAGCTACCCTCAGCTCCATTTTGTGACGCATAATACAATGCCTTCCAACTTGTGTAAAGGTGTTTTGAACGTAGAGCGTAGCGTGATTTTCTTCGATATAATTTAATTTGTGGTGTTATATGGTGTTTACATTTTTTTAGGTACCTTTCCTACTCAAAATTCGCAGATGTATTTCATTTTATGAATGTAATAATTTCATATTAATTCACAATGTAATACATTTTATGTTTCTACACTAATGGGGATTCATACGAGGTGCAGTCAGAAAGTTCATACCGTCGAGCCATATTCATTTACAGTCAGGAGTTCTGAATAGAAGCTGCGGTCACTTCTTAACATAATCACCTGCTTAACATAATCACACACAGTTTCCAACTTCGTTGCCAGTCACTGAAGAACTTGGCAAATGCTTCCCCCGGATGTGTTTGTTTAAACCACTGGTAAACTGCAGTACCACGGGCTTGTCGGGAGTCATACATCTTACTCTATAACGAATCCTCGAGTTCTGAGGAGACCAAAAAGTTGTTGGGTGCCAGGTCCGGTGAGTACGGGGGATGGGGCAAGGCCTCGATGCCATTTCATAAAAAATCTCCCTTATAACACCTGCCTTGTGTGGTGTGCATTGTTCTGGTGAAGAATGAACCAGTGATTGGCCTTCAACGGACGCAAATTTTTTTTACTGCTGGTAAAAGCTCAGTTTGTAACACATGCTTGTAGTAGCTTCCATTATTGGTTGCACCTTTAGGAACCGCGTGAGGAAGAACAAAACCCTGTTTGTCTAGAAAAAGAGCGTGAAGAACTTTCGCATTGGAAGTGCCCTGACGGATCACACACATTTGAACACAGTTCTTTGTTCTTCCTCCTCGAAGTCCATTGCTCAGGGACAGCAGGGGAAACTTTCGAAAAACCAATGTTGCACACAAACAACAATATCAACAATGTTCACAATGTGTTGTCTGACTCAAAACTGATCATAATACCTTTTCCAACCGTAATTTATTCCAACTAATTCCAGAAACGTATGCTAGAAGCGTGCGGTACGGACTTTCTGACTGCACCTCGTAAATTCTCCTGAACAACATTGAGTAGAGATACTATGATATTTCTTTTTTCAAAATTTTTATATTTTCCTTTGTGTTTATCATGTTCCTTTTGTTAGGGCGAAAAATGGAAGGCAGTACGATCCCTATTAGGCCCGGGATTCACGGGAGGTCGAATGAAGACCACCGCCCCAATGTTCCTGGAATGCGCCAAGACCCTCACCGAGATTCTCAAACGGGATGGGGCTGACGGCAAGAAAGGACTTAAGCTTTCCAGGTCAGGTACTACTGCTTTTGCTCTCTGCAAAACTAAAACCATAGTTGGTAGAGCCAAGAATCTCGAGCTAAAAATATTGCTTACAATCATGAACTGTTTCATCATGCAAAGGTGGAACTTATACTTCTCTTGCCTCTAGAGTAAGTGAAAATTTGTGTGATGGCTTTTCTTCGACATCTTGGCATTACCCTCCATCGCGGTTAGCTTTTTTTCCCTTGGCAGCTACATAGTCTTTACAGGGTAGGGAGGAACGAAGGCGTAGTGCTAATAGTTCAGAAAACTGCAGATGGAAAATAAGCGTCCAAGTGGCACTAAACCAATACATCTAGCCTTTCCTCAGTGACTTGGATGGCCATCGATTAGGAGTCAGGCTGTTCATTGATAGCTCAGTTTTTAAAACAGTAGTCTGGAGTTGTATTGACGTTAAACCTTGCTTGATGTGAGTGCAACCATTTTTTAAATTCATCACTTCAGAAAGCGTGAATATCAACGCGTTGTTATGTTACTACAGATATTACGGTGGGTTCGGAATGGACATAATCGCGTCGTATGGATTTGGTGTGGAGATTTCCTCTATGAAAGATGCTGACAACCCATTTGTGAAAAGTGCCCTCAAGCTTTTTTCCAATGAAAAAGTTGATAACCCGATGGTTTTACTCATGCGTGAGTCGGAAATAGGGGTGATTAACCCAACAAATGTTAAAGACCACAAGACAAATGTAAAGGTTTTTACTCTTAGTGTCGTTTCCGAAGCTGATGCATTACATGGACTTATTCCCGCCTGAGGCGAGTGACTTCTTCGTCAAGATAGTCCGTGAGATCGTCGAGGCTCGGAAGCAAAATCCGCATGCTGGAACGAGGAATGATTTCCTCGACATCATCCTCCAGGCTCTCAAGGAGGTATGACAAGAAGGAACTACAAATGATACAATATGGTCATTTGTGACATATGAAAGACTGCTTTGCTTGGTAAAAGTATATTAGAGTAGAATTTCCGTCTTCATATTTCCTTCTCAAATGCGAGTACTCAAAATAATTAATAAATAAAAAACTCTGAGGCAGTGCTGAAGGAAAAACACTTATTTCTGGTCTCTGTTGCAGTTGGAGGAGAACGAAGACTACCAGCGGATGGGCATAACACAGAAGGTGCTGGAGGCACAACTGATGGTGTTTTTTCTGGCCGGCTTCGACACGGTGAAGACCACCATGAGCTTCACTTCCTATTACCTCGCTCTCCACCCCGAGATTCAATCCAAGGTGAGGGAGGAGATCCTGGATGCTATCAAGGCAACGGACGGAGAGATCCGACACGACACTCTATCCAAGTTGCCTCTCTTGGATGCATGCATCGCCGAGTCACTTCGCCTTCATCCCCCACTTAGTCGCCTCGAGAGGGTTACTAAACGTGACTTCCAGTAAGTTACTGCCTTACTTGGTAAAAATATGGGAAATATAAAGTATATATTCTAAGAAGCTTTCTACAGTTCAGATATATCAGTGCTTCTCAACATTTTTATTTCAACCTTTGTCGTGGCACACCGGTTGCGAAGCACTGTTCTATACAATTTCGGAATGCAATTGTTAAATAATTTTTCTTCATTTCCTGTTCGTGATCCTTTTAGTGAGTTATAGGAAGTTAGGATTATTTTCGTTTGTAGGGTACTTTTTCCCAACTTCATCCTGGGATCCCAAGACGTTGACTGATGTTGCTCCATTCTGTAATATTCAGTTTCGGGAAAAATGAACAATGTATTTAGTCCTATAACTAGGAAATTGTAGCAAAGCCTTTGAAAGAACTTTGCTTTCGTAATGCTTGTGTTATACATGTAGAAAGTCTATTTGATACTCATGTCCTCTATTTTTTTGAAAGAAAATTCCCATAGAAAAAAATTATCCCTTGACCGCAAAGCTTCGAGACTTGGCGGTCAAAAAGTAAACTTTATTTCCTCAGGTGATGCAATCAAGTGGTGAAACCACTCCTTGTAAACTTGCCTGCCAAGGTCTTCGTTCCTGCCCAAATGTAGGGTATTGGATAGTGGATCTCTAGATGTATTTACTAAGTAGCCATCTGTCCATGTGCGTCATCCCTAGTAGCATATATTATTGAATCAACGTTATTTTAACGTTGGTTGTTTGTCTGGATGTTGAATCAACGATGATTTAATATTGTTTCAATGTTATAAGCTTCTATGGAAGTTCTCTGCGAAGTAAGAGCCTTTAATTCCGACTTTCTAATGGATCTCTCCTAGAACCTATCGTGCGGGCTAAGTCTTCATTTATGAGACATACAACAGGATTATTCATGCATCAGGACTCAGCATCAAAATCTTGGCTATGGGGTTTCTTATGTCTTGGCATAGAATTCGGTCTTTTTTTCGTAACAATTTTTTTTTTATTATGTAGGAATTGGTTGAAAGCGATTTCCTCCACGCCTTCATTGGATAGGCAGCGAATGGGTAATTGTTTTAGTTTTCCAGTGAACTAACGTGTACTACGCTGCGGAATTTATCAGGGATTGTCTACATGCTGGAATAAATTGCGAATATGTTTTGATTAATGAGAGAAAATTGGCTTTAAAATGTGGTTAATTATATAGGGCACCATTTCGATCTCGTTTGTAGGGTTCTGTAGTTCGGTGTGGAATTGAAACAGGAAGTTTGCTTTTAGCCTTTAGTGAAATGAAGTATGAATTCACTCTGAAAGGTCGGCATCAGATGAAAACTCTTCGTGCAGTCAGGCGTCGCTTGTTTTCGCAGCTACAAGAACATCGTCATCCCCAAGGACTCCATGGTGTTGATTCCTCTCCATGCACTTCATCGGGAAGAAGAAGAATTCCCAGAGCCTGAAGAGTGGAAACCGGAAAGATTCCTGGAGGAGAACAAGACGCACGATCCGTATACCTATCTACCCTTTGGAGTCGGTCCCCGTATGTGCATCGGACAGAGGTCTGCTCAAACCTAGTGTATTTGCTTTAGGCACCTTTTAAGCACAAAGGCAAAATGCAAGTAGACATTAGAGTCACATGGAGAAGAAATAAAAACTGAAAGAGAAACAATGATTAGTATGAAGAGAAACAACGAGGATCGAGTGAAACGAAAATAAAATTCTAATGAAATGCTTCCTTGAACCAAAACAAGATAAATTACTCAGTCAAATCTCATATTTTGCATTTAAAAGTCAATTTGTTGTAAAACTCTTTGGAGTAAAGGGGATTTGGAAAGTGATTTTAGGAGTTGTGGTTGAGGAGTTGAGTTCGTGGGCTCATGTGCTTTTATTTGACTGGGACGAGCAGGTTCGCACAAGAAATGATCCGCTATGGATTCGTCCACATTCTGAGAGAGCTGGAGATCGTGAGAACGGCAGACACCCCGGAAAAGGTGGAATACCTCAAAGGCTTCCTCTTTCTAATACAACCGACCAACCTGGTGGTCGGTTTTCGACCTCTTCATTGATTTTCCCTTCTGCCGTCATCAACGCTTCCTTTTCCCCTGTGTAACCCAATGAACTGTTCTTTGGGTCATCTTCCTTTCTCGTGTTCTCAAAATTCCCCTCATGATTTTGAGCCTCATCCTGTCAAACTATTAATCCTACGCATCAAGCTCAACTTAGAAGAGTCGGGAACCTTGGCTAAAAGTATCGCAATAGCGTAGAGGTCACAGACCGCAATGGAAGTATAAATGCCAACGCATTATTTCCCTACGAGGTCTTCCATAAGGTTTCTACTCCCCGAGAAGCTCCAAAACCCTGGAATGGTGTCCATCCGTTCCAAATGTCACGTAATCTCATTTCTTAGTGGAGGCAACAGTAGGAAGAGGTTCAATATCTGGCTATTTTCTCATGCTTTATGTATTAATTTAGTCTTCGGACCGGGACGCAAACCTGCTTTGGGGCCAAATCCAATATAATAATATTCTACATCCCAACATCTCCTTCCCTCGCTTTTCTTTATAATCGCATGGGGGTTTTCTGGAACACATTTAATTTCTAGCTGGTATCATTTTGCGGATGTATATGCTCGAAGACGTACTGTGCTGGGAGTTTTAATCGGGATGCCATTTCAAGATAATCGCGCTGGAATGAATGGCTCTTCTCCGAACTATGAATGTTTAACATTAGAAATAGTCAAGCTTTAACATTTCAAAAGAATGCGAGCATGGATGAGGAGTTTCTGTTACATAAATTCATCCAAGTAGAATTGACACCTGATAACCAAGTGTCAATGTGGATTCCTTTCAGATGTCTCTATTCTCCAGTGCTTTTCGACAATAGGGCAACACTAATTTTTTTTAGTGACCTGAAAGGCTGAACGGACAATAAGGAGCTGAATATATGAATAAATATTCAATATAACTCAAGTTTTCAAGAGAAGTCAAGTTTTAACAATTCCGAAGCATTTGAGGAAGGACGAAAAGTTTTTATTTCATAAATTCTTTCATACGAAATTGACACCTGATAGTGTCAGGTGTCAATTTTATTTTCTCAATCAATTCTTTTCTACTCGATAGAAAAATATTTAAATATTTTTCCCTCTTGAATTTTTTTATATAAAAAATAAATTATAAATAAGTTCCTCGTTCTGCAATTGGAAAACAGCGACCCCAAGTGCCGAGGAACCACATTCTCAGGGATTCAGCAACTGTCCCAAAGAGATTTTTGGAGATGCGAGCTGGAAGTTCACCGCGCCCATGGCACAAAAGCCGAGAGCGTGAAGGGATGCCGAAAGAATCCTGGCTTGAGACCACTTCGCCGATCGAAGTGAAAACTTGGCGCGTTGTTCAGAACGAAGCACGATGAACTCACCTGGTAATTTTCATGAACCTTCATGTTGAAATCCCAATCGACCGACGCTCACAGAGGAAATCCATGACTCGCAAAGAGTGTGCGAGGAATTCAAACCGCCCGAATCCGTTTGGGGAGCATTTTTTGCAAGGAATGCATAGATGCACAGTTACGCGCCATTTCAGGTGACAGAAAAAAGAAATCCACGCACAAGCACAAGATTAGGGGGAATAGCCTTGCTGTTGTTCGGGTGGTTCATATCATCCCTAGGCTTCATGCAACCTTGTTACGAATGGTCTTGACTTTGAGGGGACTTTTTCGCCATCTGCCGTGAAATTTTGGAATTATTGTCTCCCTTATCTTACTATAGTTAGCAGAACTCAAGTTTAAATAGAGAGGGGGGGAGGGGAAGGGGCAAGACAGTCAAGGTTGTTCAGAATGTAAACGTGCTTAATTATGCGCTGAGAGCCCAACTCAACCGACCTACACAACGTCGTTAATTCAACCTATGGGTGCAGGCGTTATCAAGAACTTCAAGTGCCACTACCGTAGGAAGAGGATCTTCCTACGGTAGTGGCACTTGAAGTTCTTCTTGAAGTTCAAGATCTTCTGCAGGATGCAGAAGATCTTGAGCAGTCTTGAGGAAGATGAAGCCCTGTCTGCAAAGGACATGGCAAAATCTGTCTGTTTGCTCGATGCAATTCATATGTTGAAAAGTGCATGGGATGAAGTAAGTCAACAACAGTGGTCAACTGCTTTAAGCAGTGCAAGTTTCCAGCTACTGCTGATGAACCAACTGAAGAGGAACCCGAACGGTCCGAAACACTACAAGCGAGCGATGAGGATCCACCCTTTGGAATAAGTCAACAACAGTGGTCAACTGCTTTAAGCAGTGCAAGTTTCCAGCTACTGCTGATGAACCAGCTGAAGAGGAACCCGAACGGTCCGAAACACTACAAGCGAGCGATGAGGATCCACCCTTTGGAATGACTCAAGAAGAATTTCTGCTTTATGTTGAATGCGATGAGAATGTGGACGTTTGTGGTGAGTTCAGTGACGCCGAACTCCTCCAGATGGTACGGCAAGACCAAGATAAATCGGATGAAGAAGATGAAAATCATCCGGAGGATGACAAGGAAACGGAAGCCCCCCCATCAAACAGTGAAGCTCTTAAGCTTCTTCATCGACTGCGCCTCTACATCGACTCCACGGGCGTGTCAGCCCTAGACGAAATATATCAACTAGAGAGCAAGGTCCAACGTCATGTGCTGGCTGCCAAGATGAAGCAGAAGAAGATCACACATTTCTTTTAAGCGTTATGTGCTTCTTTCAAGCGCTTAATCTTCTTGGAGGTACCGTACAGTAGCCATTTTAAAAAATGTGATAAAGTGTGAAGAAGCAGGATTGGTTTCGGTTATTGGAATACTCCGGATAATAGAATAAAGTTTGCTGGTCCCGTCATTATTCCATTAAGCGGAGTCGACTGTACTTCATTCTTCGTTCGCTGCGATGACGTCAGGAGGGGACGATTTCCACATCACTTGAAATTGTTCACGAGACATTCTTGACAGGGCCCGGAGGAACCCACGAAATTCACAACGAAACGTTTGTAATTGTTCCATGACTCCTGGATAACCCGGGGCACACGACCTCCTTCGATCCCATCAGGGGAGAGTTAAGGGCTTCAGTATCCCCAGAACCGATAGTCGGCAGCATTGAAGTGAGGAAATCGCGGAGGCCATCGAGCTGGTCTGCGTCGTCCGATCCATGTGCCTGTTGGTTCATCGTTGAAGATTCTGCAGTCTCGCAGTGAACGACGGGGTAAACCTCCATCTCTTTGAAACCAGTGATCTTGATCTCCGGAAGTCAACATAGGTAGGTGACAACCGTCGTCAATAGCCCGGAATTCCCGAACTCATTATAGGAAAGCTTTGAAAAGCAACAGATGGCTGCAAGAGCTGCAGCTATTCATAAAAGAAACAAAATACATAGCACCAAATGTCGAGACGTTGAGTGACGATGTCCTGCGCATTTTCCTTGATTCCACGAAGGATCGATTGGATTAAGTAGCACCTGTTACTTTTTTTCTACCTTTTCCCATAGCAAAATTCAATCTCCTCGTATTCCTCTCGAGGAAAGCGAATGCACGGACGAATTTGGGCATACTTCATGCCTTTGTGGCAGAATCGCTCAAGTAAAGTCGAAGCTCCACTTTCCCAGGGTTGCAGAAAAACCAAGTCTCTCCTCTTGAATATATCAATCCCGGTATGCTTTTTTTCTCCTCTCTGGGTAGTCACTCAATGGAGGGTTTCGGAGGAAAAAAACAAAGCCTTAGATAGATATTGCCCAGCAGATGACGAAAAGTGTATTTTTGGTTGCTCGCGCAATTTCGTCAAAAAGGAAATCAAGTGTGGCTTATTTGGGCTTAGAGTGCTGGCTTCAATCCCGTCCCCCGGCCTCAAAGCCAAAAAGTAATCCTGCCGATTTCGTTTCTCCCGTTCGCTTCATCGGGGAGGCCATTCGGTTGTGGAGTATTTGGAATGCGCCAAATTTAAAGAGAAATACCAGGATAGGGGTTGCGCTTGGGAGCGAGGCTGAGGCAGCGTCATTTGACGGCGTATAGCAAGGCAGAGTTTGTAGTCCAGGTCGCTAGCTCTACGTCTTTGTCGGGAATGCAAATAAAAAGGAAGAGGAAGAAAATGTCACAGTTCAGGTCAATATGCAGTAGTGAGTGATGATTCAAAGCAGGATTGGGTCCCCACCGATAGTCACCATCCACCATTCATCATCCACCTATGTGGATTTTTTTCTTTTTCTTTTCCTTTTGTACAAAGAAAAATCCTTTCCTTGATAGGGTTGCAAATGCTGAAAATATCATAAGTTTGATGAAAGCATTTTTTTGGTGCTGGATAATAGAAATTTGGTGATACCAGCATCTGTGATGGGGTAATCATATTTGGTGAAATCAAAAATAAGAATTGGGTGATTGACTTCAATTTGGTGCAAATTCATTGTGATCTGGTGACGGAGTCAATATTTTTGCGGGCTCAAAATATTGGATGGCAAGTTCATTATTATTTTGTGGGTGATTAAATATATTTCCGGTGAAAATATGGCTTTATCACCGCCTTCACTTTACACTTCACTTGATCATTGGAATTACGAAAGAAAACGTGTGCAAGCCAATGAGTTCTTGCTTAACATATTAAATAATTAATAATAGAATTTTAAATTTTCCTATCACATTCAGACTTATATTGTTATATAATGTATTATATCACTATATTAATACAATATTTAACATATATATACAGAGTCATGCTCGCTGATATGACTGGTTAGGGAAACGTGACATCTGCTACATGAACTCCACTGCATAAATGACTGCCAGCTATTCCGCAGACCAGAAGTAGCAGATGCTTGCGTAGGTATATAAAAAATTGTTTTGGCCTCGCTGTCCTTCTGCTAGTTATGTAGCAAGTTGGAATGAACCTCTGCTGCGATCTTAACAGCGTTCATGTTGTTAGGACCTAGTATGTGGAGTCCTCCTCGTGCCCAATAATTAGCAGAGGGGAAGAGTCCCCGAATCACTACGCCGAGTCCTCCCCATAGCGGACTTCCTCTCGCCCCTTCACGCCCTCACCTCTGCCCTACGCGGCAGTCCGTGTTGAACCTCTGGCCGGACAGTACGCGGCAGTCCGTGTTGAACCTCCGGCCGGACAACACGTGGCGAGTAGAGTCTCGCAGCCTGACCCTCACAGCCGGTCAACTCAATGAACCGTGGTGTGAGTCCCGAACTGCGTGCTGTTCTGTATAGCGAGCTACTGTGGACTCATCACGAACCGAAGACCTGGTCCACGGTCGGCGGCCTGGAACCAACACATTCGATCGTCCATGTAACAGGACGAAATCAGTGCGAGTCCCCCTGCTACGAACGTGCGACTGTATCTCCCTGTATTTCTCCTTCCGGTCTTCCCCCAATGAGTATCCTAATGAATTCTGCACAGTTGTTAACGTTGATCCAAGGACGTACCTTCCTTTCCACTTGGAGTCTATGGAGATCAGAGACTTCGCTTCTCCCTTGCTGATTTACCATCTATAAGAACACGCAACCTTCTTGATTATCATCTGACCACATTGAGTCTGATCCCCATATGTAGCTGGGCATTCGTGCCCCATATCTTGTGACCCCCTGGGGTTTGCTACATGTAATACTAGCGAGTTTGTTTGCCCGACGGGCAAACAAACTCACTATGGACGCGCCTTCGGCGCTCTGCAATCTAAGGCATCCGTTTTCGATGCGCACCCCTAATAATGCAGTCAAACTCCTTTGTTCATGGGTTCAATTCTCGTACCTTTGAAGTAAATGTGTCAAAGAATATATTCTTAATGACGCCATGTCATTTGTAACATGAGGATTACCAATTATCAATTGTAAGTATGTCGTTTAGTGTTCCATAGGTGTTTGCAATTCCTGTCTATGGTCGAGGCACTCATGATAGCATATCAATCTCCATAAAAGTAGGAGTAATATCAGTCATATAACAACATAAGATACTTGAGAGTTTTAGCACTAAGGTGG